TGGGTGCTATGTACTGTGCGAAAGCAATCGATTTTGCAGGCATAAACTTTTGTACATCCCTCTTCTAAGAATTCCAATTGAATAGCCAGCTCAGGGCAATATGATATTATAAACACCAGCACATATCAGTCTCTGGTGTTTATAGCTTCAGAGCAAACAAAACACATCATTCATAACAGAAACAGCTCGCAATAGCCACAGGAACGTTGCTGCAAGACAGGCATATGTAACGACGACTTAGCGCTCTTAAACGCGTGTGTCATTAAATACAGTCCTCCTGACAACAGGCCAGTGAAAAATCTAACAATCTACAGCAAAACCATCAATTATTATGGGCGTTATAACATACGTGTGCAGCTGGACGAAACATACACGTCGAACCCCCCCAGACGATTTAAATCCCTGACGAAACATACACGACGAACCACGGCAACGGGTTAAGCATGACTTGGAGCATGGCTCCGAGGACCGAGTGATTCATGCTCCTGTCTCTAATGTGTGTTCTTTCTGTCTTATGAATTTCAGTTTTACAGTCTTGGAAGTTGAAAGGGACAGTTACCATAATGTAGAACCCCAACACACTGAAATGCCAAACCACAAGGCCCTCTTTGTGTATTACCAAGTCTAATGAAACGGGTTACAAATGTCTTGAGATGATGTTTCCTGTTGAATTATGTAACACGCAGAAGGCATTGAGAACATAATTCCCATTACATTTGATGAACAAACGATGGAACAGAATTATATCAGTCAGTCCAATTTTAATATTTTGGCTTTTTTGTTTTACCTTAGGAATATACAGGCGAAGATGACTCTGATCTGTACTTGGATGAGCGTGAGACAGCATTACGACAGGCGCAAGAGGAGAAACGCCGTATCCAGATGTCTGTTCCTGGTATCCTGAATCCTCATGAAATGCCTGAGGAAATGCAGGATTGAATCAGGAATTGGCTTGCTGGTCGGCAGCCATTCCAGTGGTAAAAATCAGTCACCTAGCTACCTGGATTTATGCAAATCTCTACCAGATTTCTAGAGTGATCTACTTGTAATCAACGACTGGATAGGACTGAAGAATTTGAATATGTATCCTGTGTGTAGTTGGTATTGATATTTAGCTGGGATTTTGTAAGGAACAGGCCAAAATACAAAACTTTTTATAAGTTTGTATGGTAAATAATTTGTATACTAGAGCCTACTGACATGTGAACTGCAGCTGATCGATATGTTTCTCGGTACTCACCCATTGTAAGTCACAGGACCATTTCAAAGGTTGCACTGGAAATTCTTCCAAGATAATGCCAATAGTGTATTGCCTGTTTCTAGTGAGACATAAGAGAGCTGTAAGTTATTTTAAGTCTTTTTTTTTTTCCTCCCCCCAGTGGGAGAGATTCAGGAATGAGCTTGAATTGCTCGTATGCTGCATGAATAGAAATTCAGTTCCCGATGCAGCTTCTGTTAGGGAATGTTCAGTGCAGTTTGATTATGCTCATCCTTTTTTTCCCTTCCATATAGGGCATCGTGTTCAAGCAGTGGTAATTTGGCATGAAGTATCGAAGAGCGAGACTTCTCATTTAGCGTATGCTGTTACTGGATTCTCTCTATGTTGAATTCAGCTGTAATCTGAGTAAGCAAGCAACCAACCAAAAGGTACCTGAAAACGTAACTTTTTTATAACAATGCTGTGTGGAGGTGCCGAGCGAGCAAATGCTGAATTGAAAGGAAGAAAACTTTTATTCTCTCATGTTACTGTTTCGTGTTCTTGCTGTCTAGTGCCCTCTGTGAGGAGCAGCGTTCCGTTGGTGTGATGTGGTTCATATGAGCCTCAGTTGTGTGCATGTGTACGAGAGCAGAAGAGAGGTGGATGGAAACGTGGAATGTGTGAGTAAAGAGAGGAGGATGAATGAGCCTGCATAGCAACAAGCAGGGTGGACTATCGGGAGGCTGCGTTGTGACCGTGTGTACTGTAATGAAAATGTTTTCTAAACTCTGTAATTATATTAGCAATTATTATTATTATTATCATCATCATCGTCATCATTGTCATCATCATCATCAGATACGTGTTTGATGAATCCTGAACCTATCCCTATGTCCTACATGTCTGCACTAAACCATTTACCTGTTTTTAGATAAGTTAACTGTGGCAGTTCAGATCAGTTCCATGTTTGTGGTATGAGTCAGGGCTTATGTTTATGCAACTTGGCATTTCTTTGTTACTTTTTTAAGAATCCACTTAATGTGTTTTGGTGGATTCTTTCTCATAAGTTATTGCAGCTGGTGTTATGATGTCTTATAGCTTTTTCCTTTATGAAACAGTTGAGAACTGTACACTGTATATTTGTAGCGCTGTAAAAACTTGTTGAATGCTGTGTCATTCCGTTGTGGCTAGTATGAAAGATCAGTGATGACAGTTAATCGTCATCTGTAGTGCGTGCCCGTCTGCTTGTGTATGTGTTTTGTGCTTGCATTTGTAATTGGTTGTCAGGAATTTATTTTTCAAATATTTTTAAGTTTTATCATTTTCATCCAACTCACAAAGACCAAATACCATTAGCAGATTCTGGCCATTCTCCCATCTCATGTATATTAATTGAATTTTGGTTTGATATTTTGTGGTTATGTGGTACAGATGAGAGACTTGTGCTTGTTACATATTTAAATGAAGTAGCTGATCCCAGCCTTACCCCCTGTATAGTGAAAATGCCCATCAAGTGTTGTAAAGCTTCTTGCTTGAAGGATTGGTGTGACTGGTGCCATTGATTGCTCCAGTGTGAAGGGCTTTCTTGTTTTTAGTCTCTAACAAAAATTAATTTAAATTGGGATTAACTGAAACGGTACTGTTGAAAGAGTTTTTGTAGTAACTTAAATTGGAAATGAAAGATTCTTGTTAACTTGTGATGACACTAGATAACCATGCAGCACATGTTAATGTATGTTGTGGGCTTAGGGATGCTGGAAACTCTCTGGCTGCTGTTCTGAGAAGAAGGGAGCTGGCTTTTGAGAACTTGCATGTATAATGTAGGTTACTCATTGTAAGAAGTTAATAAAATATTTTACAAATAAGACTGTTATTAGGTTAGGAACTTGGATTCTTTGAGGAATGGATATCATGAGAGGTATAAAATTGTAAGATGGACACAGAATACTTCTGTAATGGTCGCATGTAACATGTGAAAATCTGGTGTATTTGTCCATATGGAGAAGTATACAGCATGAATGAATCTCAGTTGCTCTTGTGTTAAGTGTGTACTTAAATTCAACTGCTCCTGGACCATCATTTTCTGCGAATTCTATGTTCAGTTGCTGAGTAACGTTTGTGATACCCAGGTCTGATGGGTATGTGTGGGGTCTGTTCAGTGATTACTATTAACATCTGAGGGCGTTTTACCCTCATATTTATTACTGCAACATACATATCAGCAGGACAAGATTAACAGACAAAACCTCTGTTTCTTCATGTAATCACCAGATCAGTTGTGGCATTTGTCCCAGCATTACACGACCTGTTTTTTTACAGTGAAAAATAAAATTAGAGCTCAGTGTTTGTACCACAGCTTTCACCTTGTTATCATGTTATGAGTTTTTCTACATTGTTGCTCTGTGGTCCAGGAAATGTAGAATGCCCAATATTCAAGAGCAGCTACCATGCAAAGTGTGAGGATTGTCTTGTCCGCCCACCATTGAGCCCATTCCTTGTGCCTTGTATTCTCAATTTTGACATAATGATGTGAGGAAAACAGAGATGTGCGGGTGGGTTCATACACAGAACCCTTAGTTCATTTCCTTGGGAATTGAATGTGTGGCGTATCAGTGGGACGAATGTCTTCATTGATCAGGCAGTTATGTGAAGAAATACTATGTGTTAATCTTCATGGGTTTGGATGTGCATCCCAGAATAAATACTGAACAGCATATGTAACCATTTCATAACTGTTGATCTGGTTTGAAAGTGCTGCAACCATGGTTTAGAAAGAACAGGCATGTTATGTTCAGAGATCTGACTTCCCATGGACAACTTTTTTTTGATATGAAGAAACACGCCTATAGAAAAACTGGATTTAAAAACTGTAGAATAAAAATATACCAGAGTAAGGGAATGGTTGAAGCATTTGCTACATTGAGGGTACTGTAACTTGAAAACGTTAAGGACATCGAATCACAGTTTTTGGCCTACTTAACGCTAGTTTTTTAAGTGCTGTATTTTTCTCAGGTCTGGATTTAGCTATAGTTTTACTTCCATTACACACGCATGCACGGTATATAGAGGGTGTCCCAGCAGGAAAGGTCAGTATTCTGGGAGGTCATAGTATCTGTCATTCTACGCAAAGAAGTGTATATGTACATTTGCCCTGTTGCAAACAGTTTCTGAGATAGAGCAATGGATGTTATTACCTGCATAAAGGAACATCAGGATGCACTTAGACAAGCAACATGCAATGTCCTCGCACGAGTTGCAAAGTGCATTGATGTTGACAGAATTTTAAAAAATGTATTATACTAGGTAAACTGTACCAACTTTTTCACTTGAACAATAAATACCGGTATTAGTGTTGTTAAATAAACTACAAATGAAAAATTAGTGTAAATTGGTTGGACTGTAAGTGGAGTTTTGGTGTACTGATGTGATTTAAATAATGGAACCGTTTGGCGGGATAGAGATGATCACAGCAGGGATATGCAAGTTTTATGACAAGTGTATTAACAGAGCTCTTAGAGATAGATTTGATCAGAAGTAGAGCTCAAGCTCAAGTTCAAGTTCATGTACATGGCTGCCACCATGATTTTTTGAGGGGGGGGGATCAGAAACTTTGGTTATAAACTTGTTTAAGATATTTAATGCTTCATGGACCACTAGGGTTGTGGGTTTCTGTAGGACAGAAGAAGAATTTATAAACTTGTATTTTGTCCTATTCTGGTTTTCTGTGATTTTGCTTTGTTCTTGGGGAATTATTGACGTATGGTTAAGTTTCTTATACAGATGAGATGGGTGGGCATATGTTACCTGTGGGTAAGATGAGAAATGGGTTCAAAGTTCTGGTCAGAAACCCTGAAGGAAAGGAGACCACATGTAAGATCAGACATGGATGACAGGACATGAAAATGAATCTTGAAGACGGTGTGATGGCATGGAGTGGATTCATTGACTGAAGGCAGAGATCAGCGGCAGGATTTTGTGAATGTGGTAATGAACCTTCAGGTTCAGTAGAAGTTAAGAAATTTCTTAATTAACGAAGACTCTGCTGTGTGAAGTAAATTCAGTTGCTTGTAAAGAAATACTCATGGGGCTGAGCCCTTCTGGAAGAGCCGCGAATTCTCCAGCTATTCAAGAATTTTATGGAACCCGAAGGTTCATTACCGTGTTCACAAGAGTCCTCCACTGGTCCTTATCCTGAGCCAGATCTATACCATCCCATCCTATCTCTCGTAAGATCCATTCTAATATTCTCCACCAACCTATGCCTCATCTTCCCTGTGGTCTTTTTCCTTCTGGCTTTCCCACCAATATCCTATACGCATTCCTCGTCTCCCCCATTCGTGCTACATGACCTGCCCACCTCACCCTCCTTGACTTGATCATTCTAATTATACTTGGAGAAGAGTACAAGTTACGAAGCTCCTCATTATGCAGTTTTCCCCAACCTGTCACTTCATCTCTCTTCGGTCCAGATATTCTCCTCAACGCCCTCAGTCTGTGTTCCTCCCCTAATGTCAGAGACCAAGTTTCACACGAGTACAGAACCACAGGCAAAATTATGGTTTTGTATATTCTGATTTTTATGTTTTTGGACAACAGACGAGAAGACAAAAGGTTCTGGACTGAGTGTTAGCAAGCATTACCCGAAAGAAATACTCATTGCTAAACAAAAACCGCCCACGTCAAACGGTGCTTATATCAAAGTTCAGATTATTGCCACGTCCTTTAATGTTTTTGTAGTATTTATAGATTCTGGTCCATATTGAGGTGACAGATCCACGAGAGATCGTTTCCATATTGGAATACATTGGTATAACATGGATAAGGAATCGTTGCTCACGTGCGGAAAAATGTTGCTCTATTTTAAACTAAACTCATCCTGAAAAGTGCCGCTGTGAGGTGTCGGGTTACTTATGATCCAGCCTATGCGCCGTGCAGTTAATGCCAATCTCTGATCTTGCGACTCAAAAACCGATTATGTTCATCGGGTTTCCTTCAGCTATAGATACTTCTGTCTGCGCATACATTATCGTGTTTTGAAACAGGTCACACGTCTCTGCCCTCTTTCCGAACATAACATTAAGGGCTAACCATATGATCTCGTGTAACGACGTTACGAAGGCAGAGAGTAAATGTGTACTCGCAAGGTGATTGATATCCCTGTGCTGATTGCTGTGGCTAGTCCAGCGCCCAGCGTCTGACCCGGCTTCTTGGACTGTCTCAAGCAAGGGGATGAAACTGGCATAGGAGAAGGGGAAACACGGTAACTACTGCCTCTGTACTACCTCTCCTGTATTATAGAAACTAACCTCCGGTGATTAAGGTTACGTCCTTCTAGGGGTTCAAACAGAGTAAATATGCCCCCCCCCCCACCTGGTTTCTGTGTTCACCCATGCTTTTTAAGTTTTTGTGAGTCTTCGAAATTTCTCGTGACAGTGGTCCATTTAGAATAAAAATTTTCATACATAGTTGTGTGTTGTATTTTGCTATCTTTTGACGAACATTTTGTTTCGTAGGCAAGTGGTGAGTTAAGCAAGGGAACAGGTTTTGAGTTATATATATATATATATGTAAACTATCATTTATTAGTGCGTACTTTAATAGATACTGCGAAATTCAATTTCGTAACATTACAGCTACTTCTGATGTCTAGCTTTTCACAGTTCAATGCAAAATCACACTTTCATGCTTCACATACACAGTCAGCCCACGAGAGAAACTTAGATATTTTGTTATTCCGTCTTTTTTTCGTGGTTTGACAGCAAGTTTTTGATTATCTTTGGATACTGTCCCACCAATTCTCAGATACATTCGCACAGAAAGTACTTTCAGTTGTAAAATATAGTACGTTGTTGGCTAATCACCTCTTAATTAAAATATAGAACACAGGTTTAAAGAACTATAATATACACATCATACAATGAAAATTCTCCATTGATTCGTAACGTGCCGAATTCTTCAGTTGGCTTCTTCTTCCATTGGAGACGACAGGACAGTCGCAGTTTGTATTGGCAGTTCACTCAGAATCTGATGCTGAAACCCCGGAAATCTTGTCTCGCGAGATACTCCCAGTTTCCGAAATCACAATGGTCGATCTTGCTTCCTGGGCTCCCCGTCCTGGACAACCATTCGACCCTGTGCCAGACACAGATTTATTTTAGCTAAATTCCACTAGAGGCTCCAGAAAGATAAAATTAAATAAACTGTTACGTCGTGAAATTGGGCAAGTTTACCCAGCTGGATCTGAGATTCTCGGAGGGCGAGAGTGTCTTCTGCATATTAACGCCGTCAAAGCGGAAGAGAACTCGACATTTCGAAGGAATTATCACCTTCAACTTCAGAGTCAAAGAGTAAACTTAGCAAGAAGCCAGCAAACTTGCTGCACGCTTCTTATGTGTTCTTGCTTGGTTTACTTTTAGACTGTAACGGTACAGGCGATATGTTCCTCCGAAACGGCGGTACAGCCCTTAAATTGACTCTGCTCCTTGAATCTCTGGTGACTGCAAACTCTAAGAGCCACAGAGCTGCTAGCAAATTAATATGTACAATTAAGAGCACTGTCTTGTGGGCTATGGCACCATGTAGTCTGGTAGAATTTCACCGGTTTCGCGAGAATGGATTTACTTCTTATTTCTTGTTAATCACGTGATTATCTTACTTTTGCACCCTGAAGACTGAAGCAGATTATGAACTCTGCGAGAGTCTAAACTCCAAAGTTATATACCTGGCATTACCTGACAATAAGCTGCCAGTTTATTGGGATAAGAGAAATATGGGAGCGAACATTTGAGCGAGTGGGAAGAGAAAATCTGTTGAGGGAGTGGTTACGTAAAATATATTGTTAGTTTCAGAACATAATCAAAATACATGGATATGTAATAGAGCCCGTAAATAGCTGAAAATTTAGTGCTTGTGACTAGCAGTAACAATAGAACTTACAATGGAATACACGGTGTTATATCCAAGAATATAGAGCTCTTCATAACCACTCGGCCAGAAGGGTTGGATACTTGTTCTGACATGATATTTTCATATTTTTCTTCAGTACCTCCGTACAAAATATTGGGTTGGAAACTTAAAATAAGCTGTGGCCCTTTCTTTCCATTCCCTTTTACAATCCACCGTTCATAACTACTCTTCCATTCGAAGCTACATAAACTATGCACCTTAGAACTTGTCTATATAAGGTAAGAAAAACAAAGCCTCTGATTAAAACCTGATGATTCCGGTCGCTTGAGTCTCTGATGAGCGGAGCTACAGAGGTTAGCCTGGTCGTTTGTTCCCTGACATCAGGGTCAACCAAATAGAACGAATTTATCGCAAATTTTTATATGGTCTGCTTCCACAAATCGTCCCTGATATATATATATGTATTTTCATTTTAAATTTGTCTGCGTAAAGAAGGAGGTCGGATTATCTCAGTCGGTATAGCGACGGGCTACGGGCTAGGTGGCCCGGGGTCAATTCATGGCAAGACTTTTCTATTCTCCACAGCGTCCAGGCCCAATCTGGGGCCCACCTAGCCTCTCCAATGGGTACCGAAGGTTATTTCTCCTGGAGGTGAAGCGGCCAGAGCGTGAAGCTGATAAATCGCCTACATCTAATGCCGAGGTTAAGAACGGTAGAGCTATACGTCCACTCCTTCATGTCTTCATGGCGTAGTGCTTAACTAATTAAACACAGGAACAGCTTTAACTTTAATCTTTCAGTTGATATAGTGACTAGGCTATGGTCTTTCATCATCGGAGAACTTTGCACATTTGAGCAACTTTTGCACCCACACACATGTCTAAGTTGCTGCTCATTCCGTCAACATGCTGAATACAGTCTGTTTTACATCTCGCAATTTTTAAAGTTTCTGTTCTTAAATTTTTTAAGGCTGTATGGGTGATACAAAAATAGCTGAAATTCCAATTTAACGAACATCTGCACTTCGCATGTCTTAGATAAAGCTAGAAGCGACTTAAGTGATAGTCTTAAGTTTTAATGTGGGAATATTTTCATCACTTTTTGGTTACATTTATCATTTGTGTCACTTACTGTAATAACATTTTTGAGAGTGAACACTGTCTGAATCGAACCTTGCAAAAAATGTTGAATTTAAGTTAAATTATTTTTGTACAAAGTAGTAAATCGAGGGCAGGGTGCTCAGGAGAATAAGCGGGCCTGCCAAGAGGACTAACATTTTTTTTTTCATGAGAGGAGCTTCGTAATTTGTATGTATCGTGCCTAGCAGAGATGGAACATACATATTGTCATGTGTTTGAATGTGACTGTAGACAGGGTTTGGATTGGTAATCGGATTTACTGAACACTTACAAAGCGTAACTGTAAATAACTACGACAGTCTCACTGAGTTACACACTCCAAAGATCAATGTAACCACAACACACACAAACTCTTCTCGTCTTGCTATGGCTTCACTAGTCGATGCCTGGTGACGGATCCGAACAATGTCTTTCGCTTCCTTTCTCACGTTCCTACCGGCTGGCGACTGCCTCACAAGTAACTCATTGCTCCAAATTTGGACTCTCAACTAACTAAAGTCTCAGTAACTGTCCTGCTTATGACATCTCGGTACGGACTGCAAAGGAAACACCGTTGTTGCCATGCAAAAATGATTTTACGAAGCCATTACCTAGTAAAGGCTGTTGTATATTTGCTAATCGCGAGGTCGTTGCCAAGTAATGGGTCTATATGCTACACCATTTATTTTACTAATAATTTAAAACCGGTAACTGGGCCTAATAATGAAAAGAAATCGGTTCAATGTCTATTGTTTATATGTACAGCAAACCCTTGTTTCCTTGAAAATTTGACCTATGCAATTTTCAATGCATGAAATTTAATAGAAATTTTTAACTCCATTCTCGAAAAAAATGACAGTTTTATGTTTCGGGACATCTGCGAAGGATCCCTGTTTTAGGAGCTAGATTGTTCCAGTTCACGGGGAACCGACCTATGGCTGATAAACTCTTAAATACTCATACTCGTACTCATTATGAATGAAACCCATCTAACCGTTCGGGCGCTATCGAGGAGAGCACGCGTAACATTCTCATCTCCACGATCACAGCGATTTCTCATACTTCCTGTAGGTAACGAGCGTCACGGCAGCTGGCAGGCAATGTTCTCCACGCGGTCGGTGTTACAACTGCGTGACACAAAAATAGAACAGTTGGAAGCAGTGTTTTCTGTGCGGTCCGTGCCGAGATGCCATAAACAGTGTAGTTAGTGAAGTGGAGTAGAGTGAGTTGATTTGTGAGCTAGTTAGAGAACTGCTGAGGTTGAGTCTCTGTTAGTCGTTGCTCTTAGGAGGTGGCAGCTGGGGCATGGGGATAGTTCAGGAACCCAGAGGAAGGTGAACGTCCGCCGTTGGAAGCCGCTTCCAAGCAACGGCTAGTGAAGAGTGTAACAGACTGAGAAGACCTAGTGTGAAGTGTGTAGAAGAGTGAGATCATAATGCCTACTTGTAGTTACGAGTTGCAAGAGTTCAATAAATCCGATTGCCAATCCAAAATGCCTTACATATTCACACAAAATCGTGATAATATTTAAATAATCAGCATTTGTGAAATATTTCTCTCGGCTCAGCGGTGTGCCATGTTGCCGGTTAGACCAGCGGGCGGGGGTCAGCACAAACACTAAACATTGTTGTCAGAATGCCAGCTGGCTCGTCAATATGGCACCTGTTTATATTTAGTACCGCTTGTCTTCTGCAAGAGGATGGCCGTATTTCAAAGTCAGGATGTTTCAGCTATGTTCAAGGTACCGTGGTTGCAATATTCACCGTGTACTTCAACAAAAAAATAATTCATGTAATTCCTTACGTAAGAATGACGTCGACTACGTTGTTTTGGAAACGGCATTGGTCGTTGCTCGACCATTGTCAGTTATTGAGCACCGAACAACGAGACCTGTCCGAATGGTAAAACAAAGTTCTATAAAATCGGTGTCTCGCATGCAGGTCCCTACTTCCGGTGTAGTAACTGCCCTGAATGTACTTCCTGTGCGGTTTCAATTAGGGAGACCCTCTCCACACACAACAAATTTCAGCCAAATCGGAGAAGTTTTCGAGGAAATTGCCATTTTGTAAGATTTGAGGTTTACACGGCGGCGACTAGGAAGAACACCGTCTTCTGGGATGTGGTGCCGTGTAGATTCTGTGTGAACCGACGTTTCGGAGGAACGTATCGCCTCCATCTTCAGGGTAAAACAATCCACGAGCGAGGAACTAGATTGAGCAGGTGACTGCAGCCACCCCGCCCTCACTCCGCTGTTCTGATGCACAAAATCACACACACACAGAAACAGAACCACACGAACACGAATACACACACTCACTTCGACCCTGAACATGGAAGCAGCAAGTATCTCCGAAAGGTTCGGCAATTAAGCCACAGCCACGGTACAATGACCGCAAGTTGTGCTCGTCTTGTGCCCGTCTTGTCCTCTGTGCACTGATGCGCGTGCAAGTAGCAACTTAACTTTGTAGTAAACAACGGACTAAGGAGCTGTTGTGGCTGTTGTCTGTCTCTGTATATTTGGTGTTGTCATCTTGACATTTGACCAACTTTTACGTCACGGATATGTTACTTATAGAACACACGTTCAAGGTCTGAAATATAGCACAACCGCCCCCCCCCCACATTTTTTGTTTTGTTGAGTTCAGATATGCGTCAGACATTGTTGATATTGTCATGCTTCAGGATTGACACTTCAGTCATTAATACATAACAGGAGCTTCCGTTCGCCGCGCAGTTTGACAGCATCTGAATATGCGCTTAAAATACAGGAAATGAGATGTGCACTTCTGAAACTGTATCGTCTGAGGAGAGAGAGAGGTGAATAGTATAGTAGAAGAGTAAGTGAAGTTGAAAAGTCGTGGGAGAAATGAGAGATATGTTATTGAGGGCAGAGAGAGAGAAAGAAGAAAGTTCCTCGGTTCGCCCGCCAGTCCTTCTGTCAAGAGAAGAAAAAAATGAAGAGAGTAGGATGGCTAGAAGCAGTGGCCTAAGAGACAGGGGCAACGGGATTTTTATTTTCTAAACTAATGCCGAATTTTTAGTTTGTAGAAAGAATTTTGGCGGCAGTTGCAGCGATGTGGACCTTGATTTTGATTAATTTAATTCGGGGGGGGGGCAGCACGAGAAGCACGCAATAGCAACTTGGAACCTGGGAATCGTCTCAGCATTTGCTTACAAGCAGAGGAGAATAAGAGATGGCCGGTCACAGAACCTACCGGATGTCAGCAGTCCGGCGAACTGTAGAGGAAGGGAGACTGCGTAACATATGTGTTGTTGCTCTGTCGCTAATGTGAATTACAAGTTACCTGCGTATAGCAATATACTGGAAACGGAAACACTTCTAAAGGATGTTAATAGAAACTAGCCCTTACCGCAAAGAAAACATATTGCGACTCGATTACAAAGACCAGTCAGTTGTTGATATGGAGCTAATCATTTTTTGTTGTGAGAATCATATAAAACACAGAAATGTACTCTGTGAAAAAAAGGAAGACAATTTTTACACCAAGGCTTGTGGTACATATAATGACCACATGTGAATGCGATAATATTTATGTGTACAACATGCAACCCGAATTCTGTCATTGCAGAAGACCTGTGTTGCGCTTCCGTGGACTTTGCTCTCCCAAGTGACAAGCCATTCTCGGCGAAGTGTCACAATTTCTCTCCCTCTGCTGTTCATCTCATTTTCTGTTCTTTCGTCTAGCGTGTTTTAGCCTGCTTTCCTTATTTTTAAAAATTAATATAAGCTTGTGTCATCGCCATGCTCTCTGTGAGTGTACGTGTGCCCCCCTATAAACTTTTGGATGCCTGAAACAATTATAACACATTTGGTATGTACAGTATGCGCCAAAATATTCAGTACTGAAATGAAAAGACGTCCTGTTGATACCACTGTCTATTCATGTGAAGGCCCCTTGCATGACAGACAATTCTGAAATCCTGAAGAAATGGTCCGATCACCATGTCCCTGTAGCGTTCTTGTGTGACGGTAAGAGCACTGCCTTCCTTATCCTCAATGAAACAGGGGCCTAATGTACCGTGTGCTGAGACGGCACACCATACCGTCACACGTGTACTGTGTAGTGGTTTCTGGATGACAACATCTGGCCGCTCAGAACCAAGGAAGCGAGTTGTCTGGCGACCACTTCCGTGTGAGCGGAAATAATACTCAACTATGAATACTTTTTCCTCCGTCGAGAGACCCATTTCCAACAACAACTACACAACACAACTTCCTTTTTCACTACTGGGAACACGTGCGGCTGGAGCTGTGCCCTGTCGACAAACACACATGCGCGTTCGAGATGCGCGAGTTTCAGTACTGAATTTTTGGCGCACACTGTATATCATGGCACCTGAACCTGTCTTAACGGCGTACTTCGTAATTACCTCCTATCAGTCTGTGTGTCTGTATTTGTATCCCCCTATTATTGCTAGGCAACGGCTAGGTAAAAACGTTACCCGGACAACAAATATACAAGCAACAATAGAACAATTGTTGGACGCGTCCTTTTCTTTGCTGTCCGTGACATATCAAAGGAAAGTAGGGAATTGGTTTTTCACAGAACTTCTTGTACTGATTTTTTTTTGTAGTTTCGTGGATATTTGGGGTGCTATCGGTAACTAGACTGTACATGTCTAGTGGTAGGATGTTTGTTGAGTGATGAATTGGAAAGGACTTTGAAGTAAGTAGTCATGGAATTTTCGTTGAGGGACTGAGGAAAACCATTAAAGGTCTTAATTAGTACCGTGTTGTAACGTCTAGTACCGTTGCTATGCAACGATCACGAGAAGTAACAAGTGTTGCTTAGTAACAGCTCGGTAAACACGTTCCCGCGGAAAAGAACACGCGTGCAACAATAGAAGAACAACACGCTTTCCCTTTCTCCCCATGCGTTCTACGTGTTCTGTCCATTTTACTCTCCTTGACTTGATCGTTCCAATTATATTTGCCGAAGAGTACAAGTTATGAAGCTCCTCATTATGCATTCAGTACTTCCGCTGCTAGGGCAAAAGTACGTCGGAAGTTCGTAACAGTTCGCAAGAGAGCAGTGTAGCGACCATTATTACTGACCACACTGCCAGGTGTGCGCTCTCCTCATGCCCACTGTAACAGGTCTTGAGGCCCATAAAGTTTGTGAGACGTCGAGCCTCCATATTTGCTAATTAATCGGCTCGTAGATGGCGGTGAGGTTGTCAATGTTAACGCGCCGGCCGGCCGCCCTTTAGCTCCATGAAGATTTCTGGTAGTCATTTCTGTTAGAGGCTGAGTCGACCCCATGATCATAGTGCGACTGGAAGGATTAGGCCAACGAAACTGTACTCAACACATGTTGTCGTGTAGGATCTCACAGCAGTGATCATGATGAGCACATAGAGTTTTGTGGGATGTGGTGTCATTTAAGACGCTCAGAAAGACCACGTCGGTGAAATTGCGCCGGGCTGTACGGCGTCACATCAGAAGATAGTATGTCATCTTGAAATTAACGTCATGGGCTGGGCCCTCTTTACAAGCCGAAAATTTCTGAACCACTCTAGAACTTCCCAGTATTTTATGCAACCCGGAGATTCATTACCGTGTTCACAAGAGTTTGCTAACCGTCCTTATGCACTCATATACGTCTAGATCTTTCAGGTGGTCTCTTTCATTCAGGGTTTCCTACCAAAACTGTGAATGAACTTATCTTCTCTGCCACGCGTGCTATGTGTTTTGCCCATCTAATGCTTCCAATAATATAGGATGTGTACAAGTTATGATGTTCCTCTTAATGCATTATTTCAAGCCTCATTTTACTTAGTCCCTGTGGGATGCAAATATTCTCAGCGCCCTGTTCTCAAGCACCGTCAGTCTATGTTGCTCCCTTAATGTGAGAGACCAGATTTCACACCTATACAAAACTGCAGGTAAAGTTGCGGTTTTGTGTATTTTAGTCCTTGTTTTTACTTAGCAGATGAGAAGACAAGTTTTGAAGCGCATAATAACACTTCTTTTCACACGTAACATAACTTAATTTTCATTTTAAGGAAGATACTGAGCATGATTACTGGCAGGGTACCGATCTCATCTTGGATATTATATCAGGGGACCGCATATACTGAATGATGTATTTCGGTTCGATTCCCGATGAGGTCATTGTGTTTTCCAATTGATTTAATCCTTCCAGCCGCACTACGGCCCTGGAGTCCACTCAGCCTCTGACAGAAACGAGTATCATAAAAATCTTTCAGAGGGGTAGAGGGCGGCCTGTCAGCTCGTAAGGCTGACAACCTCACCGCGCCATCTGTGAGTCGATTGTCTAGAAAATTTGGGAGCCTCGACATCTCACAAGGCTATGGACCTGTACGGCCTTTTACAGGGATAGTTTTTTCTTAACCTTTACTGGAAACGAAGTTAAATAAACCATGAAAATAGAAGCAATCTTCATCCTGAAAATCTGGACACTGGTGCGTTCCTCTACTTACATCTGTTCCACTTTGCTTCTTTCTCCCTGCATCTTGCCAACTATCGTGCCCGTCTTGCTGTTCTTCACCCAGCCTCCAATTCCCAGCTGGACACACAGGTCTCTGCAGTACTTGGTGAAGTATACACCTGTCAGGCAGTGAAACAGCGGAACTGTTATACCGCGTCTAGCGGACGCCAACAAAATCTTCAAGAAATAAAAATAACGTTTTATGTTGTCGCGTGCGTGCGATTTTTCGCTGTGGTGACTATGAAGAGTTGTTCCGGGTGCGATAAAACAACGTATAGTCTAGAAAGATTCAAGCGACGTTTCGGAAGAATGTCAAATTCCATAAAGATAACATTGTTACAATGATATTAAACCATGTTATTATATTTTTGCATAGCTCGGTTGCTTATTTTCGAAGCATGAACCGTCCTGAACCGTCTACAAATTTTCCCTGTGCTGGAAATTAAAGAGAACACTTGTAAGGAGACCGTTTGAACTGAAGAAACGCGAGTGATGGGAACAGTTGTTAGGTGCAGAATGGCTGGGAAATCAGGCCGGCTGTAAACACATGCCGAGAGTTTAATAGCTGCTGCTTGGCATCTGTCCACTTCCCAACCCAGGAACACCCATTGTGAGCGATATATCGTATCTGGCATTCTAGAGCTTTACAGAACTGTGTCAGTTATCAGACAAGTTCTAATTGCAAGAATTTATAGTTCGTTTGCGCGATAACTTCGTCTTTTCTTCAACGGTGAAGGCGGAAACACGCACATGCTCTGAAATTTTTTTATTCGCATAGAAGGGGGTGGAGTCCAGTTGTGTCCACTCGGCACAGAGGCCACTGAGTGGCCTATTGTACCTGCCCTGGGTTATTATAATGATGGAGAAATTGGTAGAATGAAGATTGACAGGAGAAAACGAAGTACTCGGAGAAAGCCTACCGCAGCGCCACTTTGTCCACCACAAATCCCACTTGACCAGACCCGGGTTTGAACCCGGGCTGCCGCGGTGGGAAGCCAGCGACTAATCGTTGAGCTATGGCGCGGCCCTCTGAAATGTTACTACCACACCGCACGGGGCCACAATGTAATATTAACCGCTGTGAGGACCGTAAATCTCACAATTCGTATTCTGAATTCTCTGCTATCCACAGTGCAAACATAAAAATCATGTTCACTTCTGTGGCGAAGAAGCAATTGGTGGCATTATAGTTTTTACTTCAGCAGTAACAGTATCGAAGGAAACGTGCAGTAACTCAAAGTAACATCAGATTTCAGAATGGATTTGAGGTTAAGATACAGTCTGCTGGGATGGAGCATCGTACAGTTCAGAGAGATCTCTTCGTTTCAGAGGAACGTATTGCCTCCATCTTCAAGGTTGAAAGTAAACCAAGTTAGAAACCAGCTGAAGAAGGCTGCAAACTGATTTTGGTCTTCGACCCTGAAGATTGAAGCGGTCTTCTGATATGTAACGCTGCGTAGTTTAGATAAAGGCTACTTTTCGGAGGAAAATATCGCTTACATCTTCAAATTCGAAGAGGAAGACGAACTTGCTGCTATCTTCAGCTGGTTTCCCGCTTTGCTTAGCCTACGGCCCTGAAGATGGAAGCAATAGTTTCCTCCGAAACGTCTGCTCTCTCCGAAATACACGGCGATGAAACCCAGAAGACATTACTCTTCATGAGGTATGAGGTTTTCATAGCGACGTGTATATTGTGACATTCGGTTTTTTATTGTTTTCTGAGATTGTGGCGTCATCTTTTGCTTGGAACATGAACTGCTGTGAAATGAATGAACGGGATGGCCATGAGTTCGCTGCAATGGCAAAGCCAGTGCTGTCCCGGCAGTGGAGGAGACAGAGCCAAGTGCTCTCAAAATGTACTGGAATCTTCGTGTGAAGTTACTTCTGTCCGATTGAGATCATTTCATTTTGTCGACAGGTTTCATTGAACATTACAACAATAACTGTCACGAAAATCCTTTCCTTTGGAGCTGAGCTGTTTCACGTGGACGGACAGACGGATATACGAAGACTAATCTAATAGATTCTTTTCTTACGAACGCGCTTAAAATTGGTTCTTCTGAATGGCTCCTATAGATTGGAAATTTAATTCCCTTGGATTAAGATGTGGTCTGAAAGGGTCAAAATGTGAAGAAATTCCGGTTTTAAGAATCAAGTAAATTTTTGATTACGTATGAAATTTACCGAGGCAAATGCTGTATGAGCAACAAGAATAAATTACTGTTTCCAGGTAATATAATTGTCTATCCTCCTGAAGCATGAATTTGTATAAATAAAAGTTCTCAGAATTATTGGGTTTTCGGACTTAGTCCATTGCCCCGTATTGTAGAAAGTAGAAAATACTATATTTCGGAAACTGAGTCTGTTTCCGTCCTCAGGCAAGAAGGGAAGACTCAAAAGAGTACGTGTGTCTCCCCCCCCCCAACCCTCACCTAAAGGCGGAAACAGGTCCAGTTTCTGAAATGTCTTTTTTTTTTCTAATTTATAGAATACCTGACGATGGGCTAAGTCCGAAAACCCAGTAATTTGAGTGTTATGCGCCATCGTCAGAACACTTTTGAACTCTGAGTGGAAGTTACACCTTCAGTTTTTGTCTCACAAAACCTCCGTTGAGGAGATCAGCCGATTAATGCTCTTTAGGGAACAGAACACACTTTGCCCGAGGATGCGCGTTATGCATACGTACAAATGCACTGTGTGGGCAAAATGCGGTGTTCCTTGGATGCTGAAAGCAAGTGGTACAGAGGTCTCGAGTCACAGCAACTGCATACCTTAAAGTAGTACCTAGTAATGTCTCTCTCCTTAGGGGCGTCACGTTGCCACTCCCTCCAGGGGTGCGATACTCACCTTGCACTTGCCCAAAGACCTCAAACTCTGCAGACACGATGGCCGAAGGTCCGTCCTGTGCACCCATTTTGCGAATGCCGACTGTCTCTTGTCTGTGTTAACAACAGACTCTTTATTGAATCGCGTCGCGACAGCGTGAAACCTCGGTGGCTATTTCCGACGCGTGTGTTAGAACACGCCCCTTCCTTGACGTCACACAATTACTAGCACAAGACACGTCTGTCCGTCAGTCATCTCTCCGTCAAACCGCAAACTCATGCGTCAGTTATTAGATCTACGCGTTTGCTCTTTTGTGTTGTCTTCTTGTATTACAATACCAACTTCCTATCTAAACAACTCTCAGTAAGGAAGTAAAAGTCACTCAGGTGCTCAAGAATTTTTCATCGTTTAAAATCCTTATCTTTTAATCCTATCCTGGGCCACGGAATCCATCTGGGTCCAAGGTCCTGTGTAGCATTAGATAGTCGCCCAACCCCCAAGCTCGAGCACCACCACTTATCGGCTGTCCACGACTAATTGTTATGTGTTTCCAGCAACCTTCCATGTAAAGAGGGCGTCCCTTCCATCCGCAACCTGAGGACGCGCCATGCCCTGGTGAGAACAGACCCACTTCGCATTGTTTTGCACCGTGTCTAGTAAACTTTTGAGGGTTCATCGTCATCATCAGAAACTGACGTAGATAATTATGTCATCATTAGGAAGTCACTCACTTAGCTGAGCCCTTCTTGAGAAGCCGCCAGTTGTGCAGCTACTCAAGAATTTCCAAAAATTTTATGGACCTCGAGTTTATTACAGAGTTCACGAGAGCCCTCCACTGCTCCCTATCCTGAGCCAGATCAACCCAGTCCATACCATCTCATTCTGTCTCTCTAAGATAAATTTTAATATTGTCCACACACCTACATATTGGTCTTTCTATTGGTCTCTTTCCTTTTGACTTTCCAACCAATATCTTATATGCATTCCCCTTCTCCCTATTCCTGCTACATTCCCTGCCCACCTAACCCTCCTTGACTTGATCATTCTAATTATACTTAGCGAAGAGTACAAGTTATGAAGCTCCTCATTATGCAGTTTTCTCCAACCTTTAGTCACTTCATCTCTCTTCGGTCCAAATATTCTCCTCAGCACCCTGTTCTCAAACACCCTCAGTCTGTGTACCTCCCTTAATGTCAGCGACAAAGTTATTAGGAAGTTACTGGATTCTCTTTTTGCAATCTGAGGTGAAAATTAGATAGGCACAGGTAAATCAGTTTCAGCAAGTGCCTCAGGAACTTCCTTTCTGGAGCCTCCTCTTCTGTCTCTTCTCCATATGCATCTCTTGTGCTTCGACGTCATCTGCAGTACATTCTTTACCTGTCCGCACATCTTCCTATACTGAAGCAATGCCTCCTGCAAATTCAACTGTAAAATGTACCAATTGCTGTCTGTCGCTGTGGGTTTTCAGATAAGCCTTCCATATGTCCATTATTACACATTGTAGCCCTTGAGGGACACGCTGAGTGCACGTGCTGTCTGACTTCGTCGGAAAAGCCGAGACTGCAGTACCGACTGAAGCAGAGTTACTGTTTGTTTCTCACATCGCCCAATCCTACTCCTATTACCAACTGTAACATTAATAAAGTCACACGATTGAGTGAATATAGACGGGTTTTTGGATTGATGCCAGGATTTAAAGGACCCTTTGATACGGCTCGTGAATACACTTCACATTACACTGTTATACACATACGCTCTCGTCCACATTCACGTCTTCATTGCCGTTGCTTGGTAGCGGCTTCCAACGGTGGACGTCCCCCTGCCTCGGCTGCCAGCTTCTCACAACTGAACTCTAGCGGTTATTACACTAATTCATTAACACACCAACAAACTCAACTATTTACTGACACATAATTTTTCCTGCTTATAATATCTCAGCACGGATCGTACAGAAACACCTTTCGTCTGTTGCTGTTTACGGGCCGCTCCATAGTAACGGCCGTTGTATAGTTGTTTCTTTCTCGGTAGTTGCCTAGCAGCAGACCTACATTTCACAATACCGTATATGCATAGCCATTCACAAGCAGCGTCCTGTTATTAACGTAGCCTGAGAAGTCGCTCTACTCTCTTTCGTCTCAAATATCTTCTGTGGTGCGTCATAACCATATGGTGACGTAGACTGTTACGTCATCATCAGAAAGTTACTGATTACTGTTTTCAACACACCATGGAAACCAGCATTGCTATAGCAGAGAGTTCCTTGAACACAATTTCTCTTCTGTAAAGTTGCTTACTCAAAGTGTGATGTAACCTAAAACTGTTTTAGATAAAGTTCATACCCTCATCGCAAAGTTTCTTTAAGTATCTTGCGCGATTATTGAACATTAAAATTAATAATGCCACTATCCCAAGTGACTGGAAAAGAAAGCATAGAGATTCCTATTTACAGGGGGGGATTACCGATCGCTGGTCTAAAATTACAGACCCGTCAGTCTAACCTCAGTAGTCCGCAAGCAAATGGAATATGTCGTTGCATCGTACCTGAGGAAAGTCTGGGATAAAAAGGATTGGTTATTCGAGGATCAACATGGACTCAGGCCGGGATATTCATATGAAATTCAAGTAATCACGGTTTGCCAGGACATGGCAAATTACTGGTCGTGAGTCTCAAGGGGCTTGTCGCCAAGACGAACTGATTGGGGATAGACCGCCAACCGTAAAGTACATCTGATTCTGACTCTGACTCTGACTCTGACCCAGTTCAGTTGAGATTTGAAAGTCAGCCTGTGAGGAAAAGACTAGGAGGTTGTTTTGAAATGGCCGCCAGCCTGGCAATTGAGGAGAGAGTCGAGTTCCGAAGTTGAGTGTTTGCAGTTCGCAGTTGTCATTTGGGACCCGAGAGAGTTCTGCAGGGGTGGCTGTGACGAGAGGACCTGAACATGGAAGCTGAAGAATCTTCACTATTAGAAGCCGTTGCCAGGGTACTGCTGGTTACGGCACAGCGGGCTGGAAAAAGCTTAGCGGATATTGTGATGATTTGTAAAGTGTGGAGATTAGCGACAGCGACGCAGTTCGGAGTTGCGTCAATAAATCCAGTACCCAATGCACACCCCGTCTATAGTCACACTCTTACACGTGACGGTATTTTAGGAGTTGGTGCTGGTGTAGTACTGCGGCTTCAGATGGCACTACTGTACCAACCCCAGACGCTGGATAGGTGTGCAGAATTGGTGGAAGGATATCTCACAGGGGAAACCTAAAGTAACTGGAGATGCCATTTTGCTCACCACAAATGTCACATGGACTTCCTTGGGAGTGAATCCGGGCCTGCGCCGTAAGACGCGAGAGACTGTCCTACGCCTCAGCCTTACAGCATTGTTAAACGCCTGACCACGAATATTCCGTCTCTCGTCTTGGTTACTGCAATGGTGGACAGGCAGGGCACTGCAATGCCCACATCGGTCTAGTGCGAGCCTGCGGTTGTTGCCAACAAAATAAGAACAAATGTTACTTAGAAGAGATAAACAATCTCGTACTTGCTGTTGAACAATGCGTCGTTTGCCGTCTCAGAATCAGGCAAAAGAGTTACTTGGCTTTCGGTTCACCCGACAGTTTAGACTTGTGTATATTTTCGTTATTTTTAAATCCCTTTTTGTTGGAATCTACGGGGTGATACTACCAGCGGTGTGACCCTCTATAACTCAGCGTATGCGTCATATACACCCTGTAGTTCGTTTCCTGCTCTTCCATGGCACGTGTCCACAAGGCGCAAAACAAATTGATTTGAGTCCAAACAATTAACAGACAGCAAATCGATTTAAATAGAATGAGTCTTACTTAACGACGATTTCCCAATTGCACGCTGGTGTTTGTTATTGTCCAGTCGACACGACACAACATGCGTTTGCATGTGCCACATGTTTCGCTTATTTCGGCAGTTATCACGTATATAGTGCCTTTACACTCACCCTTATTTCTATATTCTATGTTCTCTTCCTCCCTAGACTGGCCAGTGTTTGCACATTGGGAGTGCGTGGTATAGGTACAGTGTGTGTGTAACACTTTGTGTTATAAAACGCATTAAATACTAATATTTAACTTTTCAAGTATATTAAAATATTCTAATTGGAATTAAAATTCAGTTATGTGTTAAGAGGTATATATATATATATATATATAAACTAACTTAATGGAGCTGAGCACTTCTTGAGATGCTGGCAGTTGTGCAGCTACTCAAGAACTTCTCACCATTTTATGGAACCTGCAGGCTCATTACCGTGTTCACAAGAGCCCTCCACTTGCGATATCCTTAGCCAGATCAATCCAATCCAAACCATCCCGTCTTCTCTCTCCATGTTCCATTTTAATATTATCCGTTCACCTACGTCTTCGCCTTCCAAGTGGCCTCTTCCCTTCTGGCTTGCCCACCATTATCCTGTATACATTCTTCTTCGTCGTCTTCTGCCTCATTCATGCTACATGCCCTGTCCATCTCATCCTCATTGACTTGATCATTCTAATTATACTTGGAGAAGAGTACAAGTTATGAAGCTCCTCATTATGCAGTTTTCTCCAACCTCCCCTCAATTCAACTCTCGCCTTCTGCTTTATGTTGTCATGTCTCTTTTCCTACTTGTTGCCAGATGTCTGGGTGGTGTTTGCCAGCGTGCATTCATGTTTTCGTTGGATTCTTCTTATGATCTTGTGTTGAAAGTGAGGTTATGTGTTGGCCTTCTGATGTTTTCTTCCTCTTGACTTCCCGCGGCCCGCCCTTATGGGGAGAGTTTATTGCCTCCACGAATGGCTGTGTTTATGCAATGCTGTATGAGAAGGCGCCTGGGAATGCTGAATTGGGAAAGATCTAACATGAAGAGACCGTGTCCTATTTGGTAATGTTCCAGAATTTTTCTGCAAATAGTGGACAAACTCGCAATTCGCTGCTATCAGTTCTGCCAACATGAGGGACCGTGTTTATCCAGTGTTACTAGCGGTGTCACTTTATGTATATTCCACTCAAATGCTTGATTATTGTGGTATATAGTCTCGTTGCTAGGCAACGACCACGAATAAATCAGCTATAAAATAACCATTTGATAAGTAATTGCTCCCTAAACAACGGCCATTTCTATGTAATTGTT